GATAAGGAGAAGGAGGGAACACTCAGAAGAAAGGAAAATTCAAACCATGGGTTTGGTGCTGTCAGAGGGAGTGGGTGTTACATGTGGGAGGTAAAGGTGTAGGTAAAAGGAGTGACATTTACTGAACCTATTGCTCAGGCTCCTTGTAGTTCAGCTGTGCCTACTGATGGCATTTGTAAAGCAGCCCACTTGTGAAAGAGGGAAGACTGACCTAATACTGAAAAAGGTTAAAAAAAATTAGAAATCTCCAACTTTCCTTCTGTCTAAATCTAAAAACATCTGCCAATTCAGAGTAGTCCTTTTTGCCTTCGGAACTGTCACGTACAAAGCCTATATCAACAAAGGATGTGTATTATATTAGAAGTGTTTAATGGTAGTAAGCAAAGCCTGTTGAAAACATCAGAACAGGTGTAGAGGTCTTTAGCTATTAACTGCTGTGATTATGTGGGTGCCATATGGCTCAGCTGGGCAGCTCTGAACTGAACCTTCAGCTGTCCTGCATGAGKGAAACATGCGCAGCTAAACATGCCCCAGGAGACAACTGATACAAGGTTTGCTACAGAAACCTGCTCCTTATTTACTCTTYAAACTTTTGATCAGTAAAATTAGCTAGGCAGCACCTTGACCACGTTGTTATTTGCTCCAGTGACAGGATGAAAATCTTTGCTGGGTTATTTTGATGCCATTAAGCTCCTGAAGGCTAGCTGCTGTGAAGGRGATAATGTAATATGTAGTTGTCAAGTTTGGGATTAATGTATTAGGATGCGTAGTTAGTAAAAATCAGTACTTGTCACATCTGTGTGAGTCCCATGAGCTGTAACCATSTCCAACATCTCTATTGTTCCAGTCATTTTCAATCTTGTTTCCTACTCTGCAGAATTTCCCAGGAGATGTGATGGGTCAGTAGCAGGCCAGAGATGGGCTTCAGACCTAATCTAATCAATATTGTGACAAAGGTAATGAAAGAAGTGGTGTCACCTTGGAATCCCAGGACATTTTATCAGCTTTGCTCCTAATGGGATGTGACAGCAAGGCTGATCTGTGTCTCTTTAGGACAGGACAGAAGTTGTGCAAGGACTGGTGCAAGCATGGCTGTGACAAAGGGTAATCTAAGTCCATGACAATTGCAGCTGAAGGTTGAAACTAGAGGGCCTTACATGTCAAAGCATTAAATAGTTATTCTAATAACCTTTATTTTCAAGTGAACCATTTATGCATATATTTTCAGTTCCTCTAATAAGTTGTCTGCATTAAAAAATGGTAACTTACTCTGTTTCAATAGGAAAGTTGTAAGGTTGGTTTCACAAATTAGAAAGCACTAGTCACTGTCTTTATATATTCCAAGCAAAGCACTTTCACTCCAGTCCTCTGTAATGGTATTTTATTTCAATTTGAATTGCTCCTTTTTGCAATCACATGCAATAAGATCACTTGTCCACCAGTATGTGATTTCTCTATGAGGCTGAAGTCAATTATAACTTTTGCCCTGCAATTTCACCCCTTAGTATTTCTTTAAGCCAAGTTTAGTGCTACTCTTCTAGACTTCACTGATGCATCCTGATGTGCAGTCTCAATTTTTTGGTGTYTTTCTAGTTTTGAAATGGCAGCTTTGCCAAAGATTGTTTTTACAATAACTTATTTTCTGTGATCAGGGTTATTTATATTACCTGACAAGTTTTCACCCTTGATTCGTASGATTCTTCTTCCTCTGCCCAGCTGGGTTCAACTCCTCACCTCATCTTTTGCCTTTGTAGTTTCTCTGCTCTTAAGTGTTGTCCCYATTCTGTGATGGTCCCTCTAAAAAGTTATTCTGAAGGCATTTGCTTGCTTTAACTCTTTAACTATCCCCCTCAAGATGAGTGGCAATTACTGTCAAAATGTTCTCTTACATGGAAGTTCTGTGACATGTGGATTACTTGGCTATCTGGAAAACTGCAGAGATATTACTGAAGTAGCTACCRGTGTTAGCCAAAAAGCTCTTGAATGTTATTCTGTCTCATTGGGGAGCTAGCCTTTAAAGTTTCCTGTGAAAATTTACCAAGTTCTTCTCTACTCATACAATTCTTTAATACGAAAATGTATATTTTGTCCTTTAATGTAAGTTGTTTCTCAGTCTCACTTTCAATGATTCAAGTTTTCTACATGAGCATTTCCATAAATTGCCTTGATATGTAAATAGGGGAGCAAAGCTGCCTTACACTTTTTACTAATCCTGCAATTACATTCTGTAGAGCCTTTTTATTTTCCTTAATAAGAAACTAAACCCCCCTCTCACCTACTCCTTTACATAACCAATGCACTAAGAATTATGGACATGACAGCTAAATCCAGCTTTTAAATCTCAGGCATAGTAGCTGAGTGCTGTAGCTGCTCAGTGTTTCTTTCTAATAAGCTGTACGCAGTGCAATATCTTATTAGTTAATTTGAAAACCTTTTCTCCAGGGATTGCACAGGGATTGACTTATGTGCATCAGGCCCCTACCAATCCACTTAAAGCTTAAATTCACCAGACAGAGAAACTTAGACCAGAACTGGATCTTATTTGTTGCAGCATAAACCCTTTTTTTTCCCTGTAAAGTACCATAATAGTATTTTGGTGTAACAGTAGTTAAAATGAAAATGCCCCTGCACAATTTTTTGAAAATAAAACCTATTGTTTTAACCTTACAGAAAAGATTTTTATTCTGTTGCATAAGGAAACAAAAGGTGCATGTTGCAATTCAAATGCCCTGTTACTCTTGAAATTTCAGCATTGCTGCTTAACTTGGAAAAAGAGGGACTAAGAGAAATCTTGGAGAAAAAAATACTCATCTTTCATGCAGGTATCTTGAAATTTGATTACTGATGTTCTGGAAAGCATCACCTGAGTTTGGGATGTGTTGACTCCAAAAGACAAATTCAAGCATCTCTACAAGGGAACCTTGATTCTGCATCTCTGATGCAGTGTACTGCGTCACTGTCAGCCTGCCTGCACAACTCACTTGGCCAATAGTCATTCAAATCCATTTCTGTCTTTGCTSTTATTCCACTCAAGAGCAAGAAACACTTCATGGACCACAATAACATGCAATATTAACCTCTGTTTTCATTTCTCCACACAACCATTGCATAAAGCTACCACCATGTAATCTTCCTTCTGGCYGGTATCAATTCACTATGAGCGACCAAATCATGACGTAATACACAAAATAAACAGTGAATTTATCMCCTGCATCACAATTTAAAATGTGCTGCCTCTTTAGCATGGCATTAAATTTCTTTGTCATGCGTGGCTGAACTCTGGCCACTGTAGGGTTGGTTCATAGAGCTGTACGTGGCTCCTGAAATGTGGAGCAGCAGACAGAACAGCCCACAGCACAAATCTGAGTAGACTTACCTGGCTCTCCAGGACCATGTCCTGTCCCAGCTGGGGCACCCTGCAGCCTGTCCTGCTCTGAGCTCCAAGCTCTGCTGTGCCGCTCCCGTGCTCAGGGAGTGTGGCCAACCCCTGCTTTCCACTACCATTATACCCACAAAAAACGAAAGTGCTGTGGGAGGTGCTGCACCAGAGGAAATTCTGAGTCTCAGCCTTTCCATTACGTGGGTGTCATGTGCTGGGCACTCCCTGGGAACTTCCACTCCTGCCATCCTTGAGCTGCAGCGAAACAGGGGCTGTTGTGCTGTTCCCTCTGTGTGTGGGGTTATAGGAATTCAYATGCTGCTTGTCAAACCCGTGTACGGCTGTTGTGAAGGAAAGGAAGTAGATTTTTGGGCAGGCRTTTCTAACTGGCTGCTTTCTTAGATCATTGGTGCTAAAATTTCTCAAAAAATCCTSTTTTGGTCCAGTATGTCTTAATTTGTTGTTTTCTGGGTTTTTTTCTTGGTTCGGGTTTTTTGGCTGTTTTGTTTCGTTTTCTTTTTTTGATATAAAATTCCTACAAATTACCTAGAAACTGTGTACAATATATTCTATGGACATGTGATAGCTGGGAGCTGGAATTAAACTTGTTGGCATTTTTAAAAAAACAATTTTCATTTGACCATTCTTCGTGCTTGAYTTTTGCATAGTAACGCCCAATATATGCAATACATTCTTTAAAAGCTMACTTAAATCATACAGGAAGAATTTTAGGTGTATTCTGTTTGGAGACCTGAATCAGTAATAATATGAAATGAGAAATTCTCTCCATTCCATGCATGCCTACAGTGTAAAATTTTCCAAGCAGAGTCAAATCRGTAAACAGTGAAACAAATATTCTGTGTAGATAATTTAGTTTGCAGCTACTGAAGACACCAGCTTAGTGATGAGATGGGTTTTGGTTTGTTTTGTGTAAAGGTATAAAAGTTTTAATAAGGATGTAGAAATAAGGAGACTGAGGAAGCAATAACTGGCAAAGAATGAGGAAGAAAGCACAGACGTGATGGCAAAAGTCMATGACATAACTTTATGGAAATGGAACTGGCATTTCTATTGAGGAAATGTGAAACAGTAGTTTAGAAAGGGAAGGGGAGAAGATAGGGAGCGTGATTATATACTAGCAGAATATTTTTGGAAGAGGTTAGTGGAATACAGTTTAGGCTTGCAGAGGACGAGGTTTCTGCAAKGAACACTAGTGATAGGTAAGAATGACTTTAACAAGTGAGGTGTGTGTGTTTAGATGAAATTTGAGAAGTGCATGACTGAGGAGCACAAAATGAGTCCCATAATCAGAGATTTGTCTGAAGTGATGGAAGGAGTATGTTTTGAAAGCAAATATCAACCCTTTTGAATTGTGCAGTGAACTGTTACTGCAGTGWSCTTGCCTGCATTTCCCAGTGTGCASTTTGGCTTCAGAAAGTTCCAAGATGCATTCCACTACTCTCTAACATCTGAACTAAATTTTATTCAAGTCTGAGACTCCCAATGTGATTTCTGAACAATATAAATCTCTAACTATAAATTATCCTACACCAATGCTTTCAAATTTAAAAAAAAACCCAACCTTTTATGTAATACTCTTATAAAGTAAAATAATACTTACTTTGCATTTCTTTACAGCAGCATTGCACAGTGGTTCTGCCATCCAGTCTTTCCCAGTGGGTGGGCTTCCAGCTATTTCACTCTATGATTTTTGTCATGTGTCTTGCCTCCTTCCCCTTAAAATGAGGGGTGCAATGGATTACTATGAGAACACACTGCTATTTTGCWCTGAAAATGCATTGTAGCATCAGAATAAAATTTGACACACATAGTTTTTTAGAGAGGGGAGGATCATAAGAAGGAAATAGCACAAATTATGCTTTTCAAAAAAGGGGTAAAGGCAGAATTTTAAATACTAGGTGCCGAGAGAAAGGCGATAAAGAGTTGGAAGGGTTAAACCTCCTCAAACTCAAATCTACCAGTGACAGCAGTTTTGTAATAGACATTAAGATGTTGTTTCCAGTAAAATCCCAATATTTAGATTKCTAAATTAACTAGTTATTAAACTGKTTCCCAAAAACCTTRGAATTKAGAATTTTATTYTTTWGTGCAGTTATGATCATAGAAGAATAGGAAATTTTTTTTTTCCTTCTTGAGAAGTATAAAGAAAAGTGACAACMCAATCATGTCTCATCCGGATGATGGATACATCCTTAACCATATATGTTTAAATGTGACATAAAAATAAAGAATRTAGAGAAACTGGCAGCCATTCTGTTGGCACCTAAGATAAACTGGATTGAAGAGGATCCAGGTGTGAGCTGTTCAAAGACACAGTGTACTTATTGTAAATGCAGGTTTTTCACCACTGAACAACTTGAAAACAATCTTGTAGGTTTTTAGTTGGATCTGGTTTGGTTTCTTCCTTTTTTTTTTTTTTTAAATGGGAAATTCACTGTTGCTGCATTAAGCTGAACTTTATGTTGGATTAGTACTGCTGATTTGCGAGTAGTTTGTAGTTTCAAGGCTTCTTTTTTTTTTTTTTTTTTTTTAATATGAAATTAAACCAGAGCTGTGCACGTCCTGGCTGGCACCAGCCACATGGGGCTGTTACAGCTGAAGCTCTTTGACTTCAGTCATGGCACTAACCTGAGCTGTTTTTCTCTGAGCAGATATTTCTTTTGCACTGAGACCTCTACCTTTTACAAATTTGAATTACTTGCTAGAATTAAATATAAGGGGAGCCCAACCCACAAGTAGAATAAGCTCAAAAAACTCATTTTCCTYGAAAATCAGACAAAGAAATAATACTTACTTGCCCAAAAGACTAGCATTGACCGAATATATAAACATTTACATCAAGTGGAGTAGGTGCCAGTTATGAGAGTGGTAACAGCTTTACGGCCATGAGGAATTAAGGAGTAATCTTTGTATACTGTTACCATCAAGTCTGAATTATCCAGAGTGTTTCAGTGTTATCAATGAATTTTATTTTCAGTTAGTACTTGATCAAGCCTAAATCAACTTTTAAATAACTTTTAGGGTCTATGTGTTCTCAGTTAAACTCTGAGTTAATTTTAATTCAAAATGAAATATTTTTAAAGCAAAATATTTTTTGTTGTTTTAATCATCCAAACAGAAGGAAAGATAGGGCATAAGCAAGGAATGTTGAAAGCGCCTTTTTGAGTTAAATGTACTTTTTTTCTGTTACTTTCATACGATGCAAGTTTTTTGCATRTTAATAATGTAATTGAAGAAAAGCTGCTTCACTTCATGCTGGAACTGAAGWGAAAATTGTGGGGCTTTTCTAGTTTTTTGTTTGTGGTGCTTTTGAAACACTAAGTGTGTTCCTGATTCGGGAGAGCTTCTCCAATAGCTCTGAAAGTGAACCTGACTTCTCTACAAATATTCAGAGATCTTCTGCCAAGCTCTGCTGCATRTGCCACAGAACCTCAAGCAGTAGGAGCATACAATTGTACTTATTTTGGCTATTAGTAAACATGGGAGGCCAGCTACATTTATGAAGATTCCATGTAAAGACTCCTTTTTTCAGTAAAGCAGTAAGTGTCCTTGAAATGTGTTTCAAATAACAAAAGTATCTTAAGGCAAGGTTTGACTTGACTCTCTCTCTAGTCTTGACTCTCAACACTAGCCAAGATGTGCTTTTAGCTGCTGAGCTGTGTTAGGCACAGGTATGGATGCAATCAACACTTCTTCTGCTTCTTGCTTTTTTCACAGCTGATCTTGGGGGAAGGTGGATGTTGCCCATAAAGGGTTAAAGTAGGCTGTGACATCAAAACACTGCAGACAGGCACTTCCCTTTTTCTGTAAAGAGAGCAGCTTCCTGCCAGCACTGATGCTGCAGTGTGTCTGTGAAGTGGAAACCCCCACCCCTCTCAGAATGTTTTGTAGTGGAACCTACAGCAAGTGTAAAAACATAATGGTGTGTTTATTTTTGGAGAAGTGGGGAACTACTGTGGGAGTAAAAAAAATTCTCATGGGGTTTTCTCATCATTCACCCAGTTACTAGTGTACAGTGATTTGGAGGARAAGAGCAAAAAGTGAATAAAATCCTATAGAAATCACAGAATTTTGGAGGATATTTTTGCAAAACTTGGTATTAGAGGATATAGCACTTAAATCTCTTCTGCATCTTTCTTTTTGAGATAATATAATATTAATGATGTCCCAAGTATATTTTGTCACTGTTTAAGAGCTGTTTATTGGTGAACTCTAATGATTTTGTTTTTTCCTAATATAAAAACCCATTTATGCTGCAGGCTTCAAATTAGAAGCACTATACTTCCCTAGAAAGCTGTTTAGACTGTAATTCACACTTCTGATTGTGACCACTGACAGATTTTTGCCTTTTGAAGTCTCTGACTTTGGAAGAAGTCACGTTTTCCCCCTCTTTTTCTGATATGTAAAGATTGTCTCCACATGTTTAGGGACAGAGTCCATTTCTGAACGTTRCTGCTGCAGTTTAGTTTTCCTGTGCATTGTCTAAGCTCTGGTGAGGCTGCTGCAACATATGAATATGGATTTAATTTTTTTCTTTCTTGGCTATATTTTGACTTGCACTTCATTATAATGCCAAAAGTTATCTCAGTGTCTTCTCTTGCTTGGCACTGGTTTGTTATCGTTTGCCAGTGCCATTGATTCTGACCTAGAACAGGGAACAGTTACTGGATTTTAATTACTTTTTGCCCAAAGGGAGCAGRTGCTTTTCACAAAAGAGAAAGTACCAAGTGGCAGGGTATGATACAGGATGGGCAGTAATCTGGCCTTGGGACGGTGATTATTAATACTGTTACTCTAGAAAGGGATTTGCAAAGGTTGTAGGAACTRAGCATTTTTTCATGTCAGAAAAAAGTTTATTTGTAATGTAAGTTTGGAATTGTTAAAACAAAAGTGAAAGAGAATAGTCATGACTTCTGAATATGTRGGAACTTTTAAAATTTTTCATTTAAAATCCTTTAGCAAGTTGTGAAAATTTTGAGGAAATAGTTCTTGGGTGAATAAAACTATGTTTCTTTTCAGTTTTATTTTAAGTAGGAAAGAGGAAACACTCTAGAAAAAGACCCTGAATATAATTTCATGATGCATGATTTGTGGCTTTCTGAAGATTGTCTTTGATTGCCCAATACTTGTTTAAGAGAGTGCTGGTGAGAAAGAGAAACTGTGCTTGAAATCATCTTCCCTATCTGAAAAAAAAAGAGCCTCTTTTCTTTTTCTGACAATGACAATAGGATGAAAGCCAGATTTGATTGTGTTTGTCTGTTRAACTTTGAAAATATGACAAATGTGGGAAAGTGTCAGGAAAACATACAGATTATGAGTGATACTATCTTGAATTTTTCCTTTAGAATGGAGATAAATTTCCCTTTGGCTGTCTGTGGTACRGTGATCACAGGTTGATGCCTAGCAGAGGAAATATTTTGCTCCCTTGCATCTGGTTTGATACATTGCTATACTGGGTTTGACTCTTCTTATTTTTCTGAAGCATGGAAGTGGAAGATGGTGAATATATTTTTTTATTTCTTAATCATCTCCAATCATGAGCACTTTTATTTCAGTATTAAAAACTGGAAAATGGCAACTAATTGGCAAGGCTCTCTATCCTATGCCTTACTGTTTCTTTGTGTAGAACTCTTGGAGATGCTGAAGAAAGAGCTCAAATTAGTTGCACTAAATCTGCTATTTTTTTTGTTGTTGTTGACAAGCATTTTGATTAGCAGGTGAGAAGGGGAACTCCTGGCTGTACCACTGCTGTACACTTTTCAGGAAATAGGCTRTTTACTGGGGTTTTCCTTGGTTAAGCAGATTACTTGGCATGAGCTTAGCATTTGCAGGTTTTYAGCCAGGTTTTCCTTGGCCTATCTCCATTCCTGAGCCCTATATCCATTTTTAATCATCTTTTGTTAACATTAATATRTGTGGTCACATCAGACAGGAACACTGATTTCCTCTAAAAACAAGTGTCATTTGGGGAATCACTTGATAGTTGCATTAAYGATGAACCCTTATTTGTTTCACTAAAAACTGGAAAATGGCATAACACAGAGAGGAGCTGGTGGTTTTGCCATGTTTTAGGGGCTGTTTTTTGGCTTTATTTTCAGGTGGTTCTCTGTGGTTTGACTCCTCAGTGAAAGCTTGGTGTATGAGTTGGTGCTTTCAGCTTTTCTCTGTGACCCCCGCCCTGTGTTTTTGGGTGTCCCAGAATAGAAAGAGGATCCTCTGAAGAGCGTGATGCCTCAGCAGCCACCTCATGTGACCAAAGCAGAAGCTGTGGAAAAAGCAGCTATCCCTAGTTCTGAAAGGAAATACCCAGAAACTCAAGTTTAAAAAAAAAAACCAAAACAGGTTGGAAAGCACCGGACAATTTTTCACATAAATCTTCAGCATTTTTCTTGTTTGCAGATAATTCAAAACTCTTTGATCTCAAAATATACGGTCATGATATGAAAATTGTTCTAAAAGGTGTTTGAAAGTGATAGCATGGAATAAGGTGAACAGGTTTGAGAAGCAGGCCTTCTTCCAAGAAAAAAAGACAATATCCCAGAGGGTGCCAAAATACTGCTGGAAAGAAGAGAGGCTGCTTTTGCAGCCAGGATGTGTTTCATTGGTTTGAGGGGAAAAGGAAGTGAAGAAAAACTTGATTTTTTGCATATATTATGGAGCTGTAAAAAGCCAAACACACATTAGGAGTTTGAAAATCTCTGCTAGTAAAGTATTG